TACTTCTTTTTTGTTTATTCTTCATAGGTTTATTTTTTTAAAAAAGTACTTTAAACTGTATAAATAATGTAAAATTAAGTTGATTTAAACGGCCAATCATACGAAAGCCTTTCTATGATATTTTTATATAAAAAAACTTAAAGAACCATCTATTATTAAAATATACAACAAATATCTATCTGCTATTAAAATTTTGCCTAGCTATGTTATGAAAATCGAATAATCAAATTTGTATGGTCTAGAATTTTTTATCTAACTATTATATCAAACTATTATATCAAACTATTATATCAAACTATTACATCAAACTATTACATCAAACTATTACATCAAACTATTACACCAAACTATTACATCAAACTATTATATCAAACTATTACATCAAACTGTTATATCAAACTATTATATCAAACTATTACTATAGATTTAGTTAACAAATTTATATCATATATTTTATAACGTTTAATAAAGTTGATTTATCAACAAAATTCAGTTTTACAGTAATTCCAGGCTATAAAGTCTTATGCACAGGCAAAGAGCAAAGAGCGCGCACTTAACACTAAGTCCTAAGCTAAAAGTGTGTATTTATGAAGAGTATACAGCAAGGACAGTGCCCGATTCAAAGTGAATCCCTCACACCTGTAATCAATCACAAATTAAATTATTTATGTTGGATTCAATTGTGATTGATATAATCACTCACCAGTTTTAATATATGTGTAACATTAACGGTCTCTGCTGTAGGAATAGTATGGACTTATAAGAGTTGATTTAGAGAGGTTTGATTGTACTAAGTTCAAGTTAGTGCATAAACAATTTATTGATTATAAATAATAGATATTTAATTTTTCAAAATGAATATAATTTGGCGAATTGCACGATACCTTATATTGTAATTACTTATAAATTATAGTAATCTTCCAATTATGAAGATTCACTACTTACAACCTTACTCAAAGTGTGGTGAAATAACGGAATATATATAAACAGTTTATTATAAATCCGTTATATGTATATTAGTAAAAAGAAAAAAAACCATATAGCGGATTTTTAAAAATTTATTAATAAACCTAGAAATTTCGTTATATCTATAGTTGCTGTTTTTCCCTTAAAATTATCATATTTTGACCAAATTAGCATTATTTGGGGCGTTTTTAATTATAGCATATCATCGCAATTATAGAGATGTGCACTCATTGAAGGAAAACATACGTGATTTGATTAACTTTAATAAAATATTCGAGGTATTTGTTATTATAGAGGGAAAGTTGCAGTTATAAATGGTGCACTTATAGAGATATCAGTTTGGCATGGAAAGAGTACAGTTCGGTTTACTACGGTCTAACTATCATCATAAATGTGAAGAGATAGATAAAAGCGCTGCCGAGATCATATACAACATTTGATGTGCAGGAAAGATGGAATAACAAAAAAAAAATTTGCACTAATAAACATTTCATATTATAAATATCCTTATCTGTACACGTACTTTTAAAAGCACAAATTGGTAATCTTTTTTGGCTAAATATTCTTAATTTGTTTATTTATAGAAGATGTTTATTTATAGAAAATTTTTATTTTATTCTTTTTTTAGGAACTGACCCCCCTGGGAATTCTCGTTAGATCTCCCAAAATTTCGTAATGGCGTAATTGAGCTCAGCTAATTTGACTGTCTTATGTTTAACTTTGGTCGATCAAATAAGAATCCCTGAGGGGCTATAATTAGCTAATATTTGTCAGCTCCCTTTATCCTATTAATTTTTCTCATAATATTTTTCCATTACCGTTGTTCAACCATTTTTCGAACTTAATTACAGTGGAAAGTCCACAAACGCGCTTATGTTTACAGATTGCACTATGTAAAATTAATGGTGCTGAAAATTATGTCACAGAATTTTTATAGGGTTACATTTGTGAAGATCAAGAATCGCAGAATGGTTTTAGGTTTGATATTGTTTATTGAGTTTAAATTATCTTTTACATCACAATTAATTAGCATAGAAATAGTTTATTAGGTTATTGAAAAAGGTTACAGTCTAATTATAATATAAATATAATTTGATATATAAATACATTGTATGTGGTGTGGTCATTGAATCGTTAGTTATTAGATCACAGAATAGAACATTTTGGCCTGAATATGCCAATTAAATTAATTAATTGCTACTTTTTTTACTTTATAAGGCTAAAAAGATTTTATAATTTAGACAGTCATATTTTGTACGGTCATTTCGAATTTAAACTTTAATTTCTAAAATTTGCAATTCGATATTTAAGGTTTCAGTAACTAAAGAGTGAAAGATAATGGAATAACGTCAAAATTCGCAAACTTAGTTTTTAAATTGGAAGTGAGTAGGGTCAAGGAAGTAAGTAGAATAACTGTATAAAAGGCATACAGCGATAACCTTTTCAATAAAAGTATTAGAACTTTATTTAATGTACCGTAATGCACTGACCAAAATATCCCCTTTTCTCAATAACCCTACTTGCAAAATACCCGGTGCAAAACACGAGAGTTCTATTAATTAAGTATGGATTTTTTAAAATTTTTAGACTGCTTACTGTAAGTGTAAAATATGTATATGCTTGAAAATATTTTTTCTGCGACACGGATCCGCTGCTGTATAATATGCCCGAATCTTTTGTAAGTTTTTTGATGAATAGATTGCATTGTACCACGGGTACTTTGGTCATTGCACTACGGTAATAGCTATTTACAGTATCCTTTTATGGGTTGTTTTTAATTATATAGTTTCTGTTAAAGAATTTATTATTCTTTTGTTATCGTTCATCTTGTGATAAAGCTGGCTGTATTATCATTCCAATACCAGCACATCTCTAAACGGCTTGACGGCTATAAGTAGCGCAATAACTTTTAGTTAGTAAGAAATAAGTATCACGGCTGCAAGGACTTGTATACATTAGCAGAAGGTAAAAAATTTACCAGTTCACGTTATGGCTTTGTGAAGTTCTTTGTTACATACTATTAGGTGTATTCGGTACGCTGAACATAAGCAACATTCTTTCCTTAATTACATGTTATTGAATTAAGTAAGATCCGGATTAGAGATATCACCCATGTTTCTTCATATTTATTATAATAAGATTTTTGACTGAGCAATAGTAATGTATAATTAACAATATAATAAATTCAAAATACAGATTGAGAAGTACTTTATTCGAATAATAGTTTGCATAAAATATTCTACGAAAACATGAACAATGATTAACTTTATTACAACTAGGCTGTTAACTCAAGATCACTCTCTTTCTAGTGAATTTATCTGCTTAATGAAAATTAAAATTCTATAATGATAGAAATAATGATAGCTTCTTTTATACTAATGATAAATATTATTGGAGTAGTAAATATTTAAAATATTTAAAATAAATTTTCTATTAATATTTATTATATACACAGTCTAATACTAATAAACATAAGGAATAATAATCCATCTATTTTTTGGCCAATCTTCACCAAACTTTTCTTTTCCCCATTCTTCGGAATTTTTTGCAACAATTCCCAAACAAACAACCGTCCAAATAAAAACCAACCAGGTAGTTAAAATAAATCCTTTAGTAAGAATTACAAAACTAAAATAAATTAAAATTTCGGCTGTATAATGAGCTGATGCAATATAATCAAACCAATCTCCTTTTGGAATAAAGTATGATGATGATACAGAGAAATCTTTGGAACGAAGCAAGGCAAGATTTTTGTGAAGTACATATTGATGATACGACGCATAAATAAAGATAAATATAGCAAGTAATATGTTCCAGGATAAAAAGTTTGTAAAAGGAATTGGAAATTCTTTATCTAAAAATAACAAATTAATAAACGGTTAGAAAAATAGTTTTATGCTTAAATTTAATAATACGTACCTTTGATATTAACAATTCCAAGATTTCCAATACCCTCAATGAATATAGCCAATCCAGTTACAGGATAAAATGCCAAACCTAAAAAATAAAGGCCTATATGCATTGTAGCACCAGCTGAAGGCCGTTCAACAAAAAAACATTCATACATTCTCCTAATAGTCTGAATTTGAAGCATTACTAATCCAATTACACATTCAGTATATGGCTCTTTAAAATATTCTGGCTCATATTTTTCAATGTTATCAAATATTTGAACAAACCAAGCAAAGTATCCTATGTTTCTATTTTGTAAAATAATAATGTCAGTAATAAGAAATGTAGTCCAAAATGTTCCAATGATGTAATAATGTTTAAACCATCGTTTTGGAACAGTTAAGTTTTGTATATATATTTCAATTGGATTTTTTGTAGCAAACTGGACTGAAGTTCTAAATTTTCCATAGGAAAGAATTGAAATTTTTAAGCTTCTAAAAATTAAAATTGTTATAGAACATATTATTATAATGATATAGAAAATTCGTACTAAAAATAATAATACTGCCATATTTTACAACTTTTTTTAATAAAAGTGAGTGTATGTACGTACTAATGTCTCTTACATGATGATCACGCAGGGGTATTCAGATTCTTATTTGAACCTGTAGCACAAACACATAAAGAAAAATTTTGTGTAATAGACTAACTAGGGTCAATCAGAGCTCAGGATTACGTCACAGGTATTTTAATATGTAGTCACAGTACATAAAGATAGAAAAGTTAAAGTCAAGAAACTAAAGTTTGAATATGAATAACGCCTGTAGATCTCCCACAAAAAATTATTAATCAAAAATTTCTTTCTAAAAACTTCATTACATTAATCTTTCGATCTAATTGAATAAAAATCACGAGAGGGGGGATTTTTGTGGGAGAGCTACTAATTATGAATGTAGGAATACCTTGTCGCTTCTTATTTATATCGTAAGTGGAAACAGAATTTAAAAATTCTAAATCCGCATATATCTCGTTCCCATTTACATCATATATGAAATGTTTACTTCTGAATTTGCTTCTGACATTTTTAATCACTTGATTTAAATATTGTGTACTGAGCTTTCGCGTATGTTCACATTTCTTTTTTCTATCTGCACATGTGCTGAACTGTTCCAAGATAAGTAAACCTTGACTTATCATTGGTTATTTCCTTTTTATCAGTTTGTATTATCGGAAAAAAATGTAAATGATGTAAACATAAAGGAAATTAGTCAATCAAAGAACATAAATTGTGTTTGTGAGTTTGTTCCATAGAGGTTTTTTGTGTGACAGTAACGGGTAAGTGACGAGTTTAGACAGACATACATAGCAAAGATCATCGAATATCGGAGAAAATATAAATACGTAAATGCATAATTAAATTTAAATGTGCTTTACTAAGTTTCCAAGAAAATCATGATTAGGTAGAGTATTTAGGATCACATTTTGCCATGGATAAAATTGCTGAATTTGAATCGTATTTAGAGTCTGCTAAAAGTGGAAATACATTTGCACAAAATATACTTGGATGGTACTACCAAAACGGTATAGGTACAGTTAAGGATGAAAAAGAAGCATTCGAATGGTATTTGAAATCTGCTGAAGGTGGCAATTCGAATGGACAATATAAACTTGGAGTTTGCTATGGAGATGGCACAGGCACAGCTAAAGATGAAAAAAAGGCATTTGAGTGGTATTTGAAATCCGCTGAAGGTGACAATTCGTATGGACAATGTAAACTTGGATTTTGTTACAGATATGGCATAGGCACAGCCAAGGATGAAAAAAAGGCATTTGAGTGGTATTTGAAATCTGCTGAAGGTGGCAATTCTCAAGGACAATATAACCTTGGATTTTGCTATGAAAAAGGCAGAGGCACTGCTAAAAATGAAAAAAAGGCATTTGAATGGTATTTGAAATCGGCTGAAGGTGGCAATTCTCAAGGACAATGCAACCTTGGACTTTGCTATGAAAACGGCATAGGCACAGATACAAACAATGTTGTTGCATTTTGGTGGTATTTGAAATCTGCTGAAGGTGGCAATTCGAATGGACAAAACAACCTTGGACTTTGCTATGAAGACGGCATAGGTACAGATAAGGATGAAAAAAAGGCATTCAAATGGTATTTAAAATCTGCCGAAGGCGGTAATTCTAATGGACAATTTAATCTTGCAATGTATTATCTGAAAAACGAAAACACCATAGAAGATAAAAAAAAGGCGTTTGAATGGCTTTTAAAATCTGCAGAAGGTGATGATCCTGATGGACAATATGAACTTGGATTATGTTATCGAAACGGAGTTGGAACATTACCTAATCAAGAAAAGGCTATTGAATGGTTGCAAAAAGCAAGAATTAATTCTCAAAAAATAGACAATAGTATAAATATTGACATTGATAATTTTCTAAAAAAATTATTATTAAAAAATAAATTAATATCATGGATTCCATTTATTGAATTAAAATTTATAAAAAAAATTGGAAAAGGCGGGTTTGCAACAGTTTATCACGCTACATGGACTCACGATGGACTTTTAAGAGATCCTGTTGCACTGAAATTATTTCGTGGAAACAATAATAGCTGCAAGGAACTTGTGAAAGAGGTAGGTATTCGATACCTCAATATTTTATTAAAGTTTAAAGTCAACTAATAATTTAATTAATAAATATTTTAAAGCTAAATGCATATTCTAATATTGGATCTAAAAATCCAACGTTTTTACAATGTCATGGAGTATCAAGAGATGAAGGTACAGGCGATTATATGTTAGTGATGCAATATGCAGAAATGGGATCTTTACGTAAGAATCTTTACAAAATTGCACAAATGGAATGGACGAAAAAATTAGAATTAATATCTTATATTGCATTTGATCTTCATCTAATTCACTCGCATGATATTATTCATCGAGATTTACATAGTGGAAACATATTCCAAGATAATTTACATACTGCATATATTGGAGATTTAGGATTTGCAACGGCAATAAATAAAACATTAGACACAGAATCTAAAGAAATTTATGGAGCAATACTTTATGTTGCGCCTGAAATTTTACAAGGAAAGCCATATACTAAAGCGTCGGACATTTATTCATTTGGTATAATTATGTGGGAAATTTCTTCGGGAGATATTGCATTTTCTAAATATGAAAGTAATGAATTAAGTTTAATTGTAGAAATTTGTAGTGGATTAAGACCACATATTTGTGAAGGTACAACGACGTGTTATTCAGAACTTTTAATGAAGTGTTGGGATAAAAATCCGGATAAGCGACCATCAGCTTTGGAAATTTATGAAACTATTACAAAATGGAAGAATGATTTTAAAATTTTAACAGAATTTATAAACTCTAATGATAAAATGGTAATAGAAAATAATTTCTCTAGCGATAGTAACGATAATGATAATAATTTTATCTATAGTAGTAAACTTATTAGTTGTATAAATCAACTACAAAAATATGTTATATCAGATAATAATATTGATGTTGGAAATATAAAAACAGATATCGACAATACTGAAAATATAGAAATGGATATTGACTACAAAAAGAGAAAAATAGACATTGATTCCGAAAGGAGAAAAATAGATATCGATTCTAAAAAAAGAAAAATGGGTATTGACAGTAGTGATATGAATGGTTAAGAATAAGAGCAAAAATATATAACTATCTTATTGTATAAACATTTTATGTATTTATTATACACATATTATTATTAATCAAATTTAGAATAAGTCACATCAAAATTAACCTATAGTTATACAGTATAATAACGCATTATACCATTGAGATCTACTATGCATTTGAAAACGTCCTTGCTACGCTTCGGGCGATACATTATCATTTTTTACTAACAATTATTATTTAAATATTATGTTGTAAATAAGTTTATGTTAAAGTGCTAATTTACTTTCATGATAAGGCATTTTTATATCTTAATACGCGCTGTTTCAGGACAATATTATATCAAGTAAAATGCATAAATTGTTGAAAAAATTATGACTGTGTGAGACGCAAAAATTTTGTTACGTACTAAAATTCCAGATTAAAGCGTATCCCGTTAATATCATTTTTAATTATATAATATATATTTTGTTTTATAACGAATACTAACTTGTTTGGTGGATAAAACCTATGTTATTTAATTCACATTACCTTGGTGCATTTCCATGTTTAAATGTCTGTTCATTTTTATACATCATTTGTTATAAATTTTTTTTTTTTTTTTGGTATTAAGGTGATGTTATAAATTTGTATATTTCTTAATCTACCTATTTTTAGAAGGCATTCTTTATTAAAGTGATCATTATTATTTTATAAACTAGGAAAATCGTCGGAAAATAAATTTTGCTTAGCGGAAAATAGTTTAAGGAGGTCAAATGTGTTTTAACATCGTAATGAATATTTAAATAAACATCGTAATTTAATAAAATTTAATTAATCAAAAGATAATGCGTGAGTTTATCATTTCAATTTATAAACATTTCATGGTATACCACCTTTTTTTTTATTCCTGGATTGGCAAAATTTACAATTAATTGCGTTTTCAAAGAGATCGCACAAGCAACTTTATCAGTAACCTTATCATGCAACGACCGAATATCAACGGCATTTGATAAAATATTAGTGTATTGCTCAAGAATCAATTGCAATACTTATTATAGTAAATGAGCATCGTCACGTTTATTAGCAAATCGCATAGAGAATAACGTTTGAGTAAACTTTGATTGCTTCTTAATTTGCTTATTCGTTTCATTATACGTAAATATAACTAGCAATGTTAGATGTGGCGGGCGACTTCGTCGCCCGCTTGCGGTTTTTAAATGTTAGTGGATATAACATGTGACAAGCGTATGTAATCGTGTAATTATAATTACATGTAGAAGAAATACATGTTTAATTATAATCTGATGTAGAAATATATGTGTAATTTATGGAGCAGAGCGGAGGATCTTAAGTCCAGTCAATAGGTAAGAAATTTTTGGGTTTCAACGTCTGTCACAAGTGTGTATAGATTTTATAAGTCCAATTTGATAATCGACTAAAATTATTGTTTTTAAATGTACAGTACGTAATGTATGATGACGTATAAAATTTAACTTCTATAGCGTATTTAATTTAACTTCTACATGCAAATTGATTATTCATATGTTTTCGCAATAGCTTATAGTTATATGATCTTTAGCAGTAATAAAACAATATTGGAGGTATTGGTCTCTTTAAAAGATATACGTATTTTCTTATAGCCAGCTTACAAGTTGTTTTAAAAACTAAGATCTAATGAGAATCAATTGCTTAAATGTTTGTGATTTAATTATATGAGAGAACAATAGATCACTAATTATGATATAATTACATTATATTAACGTAATTCACATGCTAAATCGTCTTGAAACACTTATATTACAGAAATTAATAGCTTTTACATTTTTAGAGCATACAGATAAGTATATAATAGTTATACATTACACTAAAAAAATTTTCATTAACATATTGTAAATTAGTAGATTCACGATGCAGCTTTGAAAATTTGTTTGTTAATACGAAGCGGCGCTCCGGAACCCAACAGATTTCGTTTTCCTAGTTATAATTATATGTAGGAATACAATATATATTGTAAATTGGTATTGGTTAGTGATAAATATGAATTTTACGCTATCGAGTAAGAATGTATATAATGGTGTAAGTATAATTTAAAAAGAATTGGTTTTATTTTTTTGTAGTTTTATTCTTTGGTATGTTGCGATGTTTACGTTGATTTGTTCTTATTGTAAAATGAGAATAAATTTTTATTTTTGATAATACGCTAGAATGGAATGCGAAGATAATTTTGTAAGTTATTATTTTATTCGTATTTTGACTTTTTTAAATAGTTGATGGTGGATATAATTGATATGCTTGGATTTTGTTATTTTACCAGGGCGTGTAGTTGGTTTATTTTATATTTTGAATGGCAATAGCGATAAATACATTTGACATTAATGAATGAAATTAAGCGAAAAAGATAAGGAATAAGAATAATGTGTTGGTAAAAAGTAGAGGTAATTTAGGATATTTTGGGTAGGGAATGAATATAGTTTATGTTGATATAGAATTGCAATATGGTATGTTATTTAACGTTAGTGGATCAAGAGCGATAAGTTCTAATCGATCATATTCTTTGATCATAGAAGGGCTTGTCATGAATGTGGAACGATTTAATGAATGTATTTTTATATTGGTCAATTTAGTGCAATGACTCAGTGCAACGTAAGCCTGACCAGATTCGAATATTTGATTATCTAAGTTTAGCGATACATCAGGAAGGGTTAGGCCTTGGGTTTTGTAAACTGTTAATGCAAATGCGTTTTGTATGGGATATTGAGTACAGCTTGCAGGTAGACTATCAATTTCAAAATTGGTAGTAATTTTGGTAAATGAAACATTTACTATGGCACCTTCAACGCAGAAACTGACATATATAATATTTGTATTTAGATCAAGATCTGTTATAATGCCTATAGTACCATTGGCTATTCGGTGTTGACTTTGTGAATTATTTAGAAACATAACTCTCACTCTGGGTTGAATTCTGATTGTTTTAGGTAGATTAGTTTTGTTTTTAAAATCGTGTTGTCTTGAATCATCACTGCAGATTTGACCATTGATTGTATCAACGCAATTGGATATTGTAAATTTGTTTTCTTAAGTAGGGATTATCGTTAATATTAATCTGTTGATTGTATCAGCATTTTTTCTATATTCTACGATGTGTGTTGTGTTTAGATTTGTATATAAATCGGAGTCAATAGTCTTATTTTGTTTTTGGAGCAATGTGTGCCATATTTGATCACTAATATTGCCTAATCTAATTTTTTGTAGAAGGTTGTAAAATTGTAGATCTTCAATTTGTCTTTGAGGTTCGCGAAGAAATAACAGGTAAAAGAGATTTCATAATGGTGATTGATAGACAGGAGAGCCATGAACCAGGGGTAGTTGTGCCAAGTCACCAACCAAAATAATGTTAATGCCTCCGAATGAGTGATTGTTTAGATGCAATGATTCGAATAGTTCAGAAACATAGGTAAGAAGTTGGCTTGACACCATCGAGATTTTATCAATAATGATTATATTAATTTGACGAAGAGCGCTTAAGAAGTTTGGGTCTTGAAATATAAGTATTCGAAAGCAAAACTCATTTTGAATAATTCGTAATGTGGAATGGATTGTCATTCCATTGATGTTTTGAGCTGCAATTCCAGTTGGGACATAAGGAGATAGTTTTGACAAAGTCTTTGAAAATGTTCTACTAATACACGTATCATATAGGATTTACCAGTGCCAGCTGAACCCGTAATAAAAAAAAAAGGGTAATGTGAACCATCTCGTGGGCCTAAATAGTTTGTTATAGTTTATAAGCAATGATATTGATTTGGCAGTAAGTTAATCGTTGGATTTACAGATATAATTTTTGGCAGTATCTTGATAAAATCTATTTGTATTTTGATTATATTGAGGATATTTGTTGTTAAGATTGGGTATAAGGATGATAATATTGTTTTAATAAGAAGATTAAATTGGTTCGAGATGTGTGTTGTCTGTCTTAATATGAATTTGTGATTTTGCAATTGGATTAATTGAAAAGCATCCTAAAATAAAGAAAAAAAATGGTCTCTGTAATTTTGAAAATTACCAAGCATTTCATTTTCAGATCTGCATGGGAATTTTAGAAGTAGTTGTTGGTAAAAATATGGTTCGCTATGTTCTGGTTGCAAGGGACGCATACGGGTTAATATGGGATTTATGTGCTTAATAACAAAATTTCCAAAATTATTTTGGTATATCGTTCTATTAGATGTATTTAGTAAGAATAATTTAATATCATATGCTTCAAAATACGTTTTATATGTCATGTCATTAAATATATCATCTAGTAGTTGCGCAAAGTACTTTTCTATTTATTGTTCCAGTAAGGATTATCATCAGGAGAATTAATCATATAGAGAGAAAGAACTGCTTTGGACCAAGTGCTTGGAGGGTCAGTTGTCAGATACTGAACTTGTATTGACAAATTTATAATGCATTCACTGAGTAATAAAAACATTAGTTCCATCGAACCCATTCATCGTGCATGAATATATTCTCGATAATGGGTTTCTTCATGTATATTAAATAGATGTGTTGGCTCTGATTTGCTTATATATTTAGTTATGTATCGGGCAAGTTCTTTGTTTGTAATATACTGAACATTTATATGAGCATTCCATATCATCAAGATAGGTGCATGATATGGAATTACCTATTGATCTTCTGGTGTTAGCCACCTATATGTATATCTGTAGTTATCTGAGTCATAATACGTATATTCAGAAAATGGGTGAGGGAATCCTTTTTTACATGTAGACCCTGGTGGTGCTGGACCTCCACATTTAGAGCTACATGTGTGTATTTGGAAAGTACTAACTTTTTGATAAAGCTCTTGTTCTAGATTAGGGTTTGGAAGAGTTGATCGAATAGTATCTATGTTAATCATTTCGGTAATATTTGATGATATCAAATAAATGCCATGTAAATGAGCTGCTCCACAATTTTGAAATTCTATTCTGTCAAAAAAATGAGTATAAGAACCCCATTGACTAACGTTTGAATTTTTCCAGACATATTTTTTAAGATTTTGTAATCTGTGAATAAAGTGAAGTGTTGTATGCAATGGTCTGTTGGTCGGTAATGGATTATTGTTATCTGTATTGACAAGTATATTATAAAGATGAGTTCATGATCCTTCAGCTATTGATAAGGTAACGAATATTGTTGGATGACCAAGTTCGTGAATCATTGTATTTAAATGCATTTTTTTTTTTTGAAAGTAGCCATCTTCAGTACAGATAAAGGAAGGAATTGGTGTTGTTTTTGTTTCACTATAACGTCAGCCACCTGTATATGTGCTTCTTTCAATGATTTCAATTGCAGTTCGTGAATGATGTGTTTCATTAGCTGTTGATTGACGAACTAACTGTTGTATATTTTGGAAGTTTCTATATTTTTCTATGCCCATGCTGGCCAGTAGTGATGTAGTCTAAATTAAGAGTCTTTGGAAAGTAAACGATGTTTGATATATTTTCCAAATGTATCATGTCGTCGTTGTATGTTTTCTAACTGGTTTCTCATTTCATGATAGTGATCATGACCATTTGGATACAGGTCTGGAAAAAGCAATGGTTCAAGATTGGGATCATTAAGAGCAATTGGAATTTGGGTAGTATCAGAATTTGATATAAATCTAGCCATTAAATGACTGTAATGGGCATCTTTATTGTGTATTTCAGCAGGAAAATTTTGGTGAGGAACAACTATATCACCATGTTAAAATGGAGATGTATTTTGATCAAGAGACAAATAGGTAACAGAGGGAAATTGAATGTCAGTGTTTGGAATCATTTGCAAATATTCATGTAAATAAAAATTGTTTTCTTTAAGCCAATCGATAGTACTTAATATAGAATTATCGAGCCAAGAGGGAAGTACAGAGTGATCAGATGCAGGTGCGGCTAGGTAAGCACCCAGAATTCCTGAATAAAGATTCAAGAAATGAAAGTTTTGAGAATAATTGACAGTACCAACTAATGTCCTATATTCAGAAAAGGGATTGGCTCCGAGTGTACACCCTAAAGAATAATGAAGGAAGATTGGCAACAAATATTTGTGTTTTTCTAATGGCACAGAAGTAATTTCGGGTGGAATCTGACAAAGATAAGGTGAATAATTATGGTTTGGATTAGTTTTGCAAGACGCACATACTGAAATGTGGTCAATTGATGGATTGGGATTAGCAACTAATGAGATGTTTGGATATGCAATGGTAAGGGGATATGTAATATTATGATCTTGCTGAATCCACATTGATTTTTTGAATGCATAAGTTTGAAACAAACAGAGCAAGGAACACATAAAAATTGAGTTAATATTTCTTGGTCAAATTTATCTATGATTTTTTGTAATTCTATAGATACAGACTACTGAGAAAGTGGTAAATTTGTTAGTTCAGTATGACATGAAGTAACATTATTCAGATTAATAATTTGTTCATCTGATATATATTCGATAGGTTCTATGTCAAGAACTCGATGTACATAAAATGACATAGTAATTAATAATATTTAAAGAGATATTTTATATACATTGAATAGTTTGTAAGGCAAAAAGTTTGAATTATAAAAAAATGCGATTAGAAAATTTTTGCTATATTTGGTATTGAGAACGTAGTATTACTTTTATATGAAACTAATAAACAGTTAAATCACAATCTACAACATAAGAAAAATAGGTTATTTGCTAGAAGTGTGATTATAGTGCTTTAGAAAAACTTGTTTTATTTTTATTAGACTGAATTAGAATCTGAAAATATTATTTTATAAAGGAGTTTGTTAACTTGAAGGTTTTTAGTTTTTTTTACAAAAGTGAGATTGTGGAGTTTTATAACTTTTAGCATTGCTAAAGATGTAGAAGGCTTGGAAAGTAGAAAATCTTTTGTCTTTAAATGATTTTTATTTAAAAATGCATTTTTGGAAAAGAAAAGGGCTAAATAACTATTCAAATGGGCTATCTTATTGTAAGGTTGGGCTTTTCTATTAACTATAATCATTATTCTTTTATTTAATCAATTCTTAATAGGTTGTAATCAAATAACTCATTCTTTTCTTATTTTCTTGTCTACGTGTTCCAGTTCTTTAGTTGTCATGTTTATTTATTGTGCTGTATATCATATTTCAGCCGATAAGCCTCATGCTATACCCAAAGATTTAAAACCCTGTTTGGTATAGCTTCTTTAATCGATGATCATGGATTCATAGTGTAGTTATACTTTAATTTCAGAAAATTTTTTGGATATCTTATATTTGATCCAGGATAGTAGATAATCTGTTTGGATTTTCAACAGGTACATACGTATATAAGAGATTCAAATTGCATCTTTTATATAATTGGTTTCATGCTTATGCAATAAATCAAAGTAAATAAGATGTAAATAATAGAGTAACAACTATATATGAATTTGATTAATCATTTTAAATTTGTTATACTAATCAATGCTTTGTAAAAAATATTGTACAGTTATCATAAACATTGTCTAAAAAATAATTGGAAAGGAGTCGATTTTTCGAATGGGGTTTATACTTGTACTGTTTTCATTATGATGTTTGTACAGGATGTAAAAATAGAAAATTTTTGATTGAAAATTATTGTATAAAAAATATATAAAAAATGTATAAAAAACATATATAAAATGTGTCATCTAACAAACATGTTTGGAAAGGAAAGATTTTTTTTTTAAAGAGGCATGTTGGAATAGATTTAGTGTTTTAGAAATTATTTAAGTTGAAATGGAATTTAAGTGCAGCTCAAGTTAGTACAAAATTTAAAAGAAACTTAAATTCGATATATATCATAAATTATCAGATATGATATGTAGCAATTTACTGTAAAATGCAGTGCAAAGTACCCCCTTGATTTAGACTAGGCATGATTCAAGATTATTTGTTGTAGTGTTTTATAAGAGATCCAGGTATAAATCAAGAACAATTTAATAATAGTTTGTTTTTTTTCATAATGTGCTAATATACTCTTCTTACAAAATACCCTATATAATATACTCGTGCCATACAATATACCCAGGGGTATAAATCAAGGTTTGTTGTGATGTGAAATGTAAAATACCCAGATACATCGCACTGCGTTTTACAGTAAGTTGATTTTATTAACTTCGATAGATTAGTAAAGGTGTAACGAGTTGGTTGGAATGACAACCATTAAAGTAAATCTTATTTTATTTTAAATATAAGTAAATACAAACTTTTACTGTATGCAAATCTATTAGTTTTTTAATAGTGATGAAATAAGATATCAAATAAAAAGGACCATAAAATAAATGATTTATTTTATAGATTGATCATAGTAAAGCATTGAATAGAATTATATATTTACTTTAAGTTAAATTTTGATAATTAGGGGAAACAGAAGGAGATTGCTTTGATGCGTTCGGATTAATTAACATGTCTTTTGCCAGGTCTATTAACTTGCGCCGATTTCTAGTTTGTGTATATGGTTTAGCTGGTGAAAGTTTAGTTTTAGGTATCTTAATAACTGAAGATTTTTTATTAGAATCGATTCTTTTATGTGATTCAGCAGCCGAAGAAGAGTTAGTTGCATATTGATTAACGGTTGATGGTTCTCTATCGGAATTAGCTTGTATAAATGGTTCAGCGATTAAATTAGTGACAGGTGAGGTAATCATCGCGAGTTTTTATTTTTTGGATGTTTAATATCAAATTTTGCGGCTATTGTTTTAGCAAAACTAACAGTTTTACTTGATTCATCAGAAATTTCATCATCCCAGAGAAATTTAGAGGAAGTATCTACATTAATCGATGACTTCAGATGGCCTGAAAAGGTTATACTTTTAGCGTGTACATAACTTTTGTTTTTGTACAAAAAAAATTCACTGTTAATATAAAGAATCGAATTCTTTTTATAGCTGGAGTTATGCGAATTAGATGGGGTGCAGATACTAAGTAGTGGCATTTTATTTCGGTGTCACATTGATCTTAGTCTATGTGGTCAGTTACCACAACCATCATAAGAGCGTCCTCACCATCAATACGTGGGAGTTCTTGTACTAATACAATCATACTAATTAAAGCCAGAAATCTCAGAAGATCATTTGGTTCTAGGTCAAGATGCACAAGATCACTTGGAATAATCTGTATACACATTCATGAAAAAATGAATTAATTAATGTATCACATGTGTTATATTATTAACATGATCAAAAAATAATTTACACAGGATCATAATTTAAAATAGGTTTTGCACAGTGTCGGAAAGTTATTAGGTTTGAAAACATAAATTACCATAGTGCGCTAACTAAAGTACCCCTTTTTGCGTACCCCCCTCGCAAAATACTCTGTGCAAAACATGAGATCTCTATTAATTAAACATATGTATATGCTTGAAATTTTTCTTGCTTGCAACACAGACCCATAACGGTACAATAGACCTGGATACTTTAGTCAGTGCACTACGATATTAGATTTATATAGTAGAGACAAACTTAGTGGATTAATCTTATGAGATCTGACAAGTTATCAATTTTGAGATGATCGACCTTGAAAGTTCAATAGTAATTATAATACTATGCACAAAATCAGTTCTGTAAAATTGATAAACTGTCAAATTCGATAAAAAAATCAATCCATCAAGTCGTCTCTGAGAATTAACTATAATGTTTTAAAATTCAATACTGGTACAAAACTCATCCACAGCATGTATAGATTTGACATTAGTTATTCATTACATGTATATATTCAACAAATATAAATCTTAATATACTTTTAAGGTGGAAAGATTTTCATTTTTTTCATTTATATATTCAACTACACGAAATTTTCTGGTCGCAAGAATTACATTTTCTTTTTCGAATGGGGGAAGACTGAATTTTTGAGTTGAATTTTGAGAATAAAACCCCTTCAAAAAAATTTTTAATAGTGAATTTGAGCTTTGGGATTTCATAAAACCTGAAGCATCGGCTATATAGATATTTTTGCCAGAAGTCATTCGATAGTCAGTTACATAACAAAGTACAGTAACAGTACCCGGCATATTTTTTTTTTTTTTTTTTTTTTTTTTTTTCAAGCAGCAAAAAAGAAAGACTTCAACAATGCTTATTCTTTTCTCTTTTTTTTTTTTTTTAAATAATTATTTATTTATTTTTTTTTTTTTTTAATAAATAAAAATAATAATAATATTATTATTATTTATCACGAAAATATATAAATAAACAAAAAATATAAAGGCATTGCGGCTCTGACATGCTAGTTGGATCAGACATACACAAGGCTTAGGTTTTCAGCCACAAGTACAATAATATTTATTATATTTAGCCAATCAGATCACATTGAAAATAGACAGAGATGAACTAAGCAGTAAGAGTTCCAAACGATACCGTTCGCAGAAAATGTACAACAAAATATAATTACTAATCATAACAATAATTATAACCTAGCCTTAATGATCACCACGCGTGTTGATAAGGTTAAACTTTAATCATGCCACACGATGGTGACTGTGTTGGTGCAAGTTTCTTTACCGGTAATGATTTATTTATGTCATGTTATAGAATTGCAGGTCTTGATTGTGTTCTTTTTTTGTTTTTTTTTTGGACTTTTTTTTTTCAAAAAAAAAAAACCCCCAATTAAAACCTTCGCTTGATCCTTTCATTATGGCCTTTGACGATTACTGATTATCAACAAATCTACCCGGAAAAAAATCTGAAACAAAAAATTACAAAAACGTAAAGATCTAAAAATAGTCATATAATATTAAAATAAAACAAACATAAAAAATGATAAATACATCACAATTCGGCATTTTCGATGCTTAATTAACGAAAACCAGAATCTAGTATCTAGAAGCAGTATCTAGAAGCAGTATCTAGAAGCAGTATCTAGAAGCAGTATCTAAAGTATATATAAAAATGGCAGGAGAAAAAATTTCCATTTATAGATTAAGAGGAAATTTCGATTGCCGATCTCATGCACAAACGCGACACAAATGGCAAGAAATAGTAAAGAAGATAACACAAAATAGACAAACAAATAAGCAAAATAGGCAACAAAAACACGCCAAAATTGTAGAGGTTTAATTATAGTTGTGCACGATTAAGATCGCGAGCCAATCACATCGAGGTTAATCACATCGGTGTTGAAACCCTTAAGCAACTTGTTTATGATCATTAAATTGTTAATTGCATGATAAGAGAAATATCCATTAGTTTAAAGATTTTTATTTGTGTATCAAAATTACGAAATTAGAAAATGAAATGAGTGTATAGAGACTCCCATTTGACAAAATAAGTAAACTTCAAATTTATCGAAAAATGAAATAAAGTTTATACACCACTCATTTAAAATGAATACGTTATTTATTTTTGTCAAAATTAGATTCCGCAACGTTAATTCTGTAACCTCTCTTTAAGCGAGTATCGACAGCTTAAGAAATCCGAAAACTTAACTAAAAGTTAGTATTATAAGTGCTTGCAGTAAGCAAAAATAATTTTAAAACAACGACATCAAAAATGCTATTGTTTCAAGTATGAGATGTATACTCAAAGCATCAGAAACTTTTTGTGAACAAAGCTTGTTCTAAATGTTTAACACGTAATAAAAATATAAAAATGAAGAGAGTTTACTTCTTTACTTGATTTTAAAAAATTGCAATTGATGCAGTCAATATTAACTATACATTTCTAAAAATCGGATTTCTCTTGCAAAACTAGTTTCACAACTAAAAAAACGAAAACCACTTTTTAATACAGTAATCAAGTTCAGCCAATAAATGACTTGGAAAGCAATCAACTGTCGCATTGGCTAATCATGAGGTAGAATGATATATTTAAGTATGGATGAATATGATTCAAGTGTCAGTGATGCTGAAGTAACAGATGATAAAGCCATTGAATTAAAGAAATATTAGTGAAGGTGTTATTTATCTATTTTATTATTATACATGTTATTTATATAATACATATTAAATTTTACAAAATTAATTTATAGCTGGTAAAGTTTATGAGAAATCGTGAACTTTTCTCCAACGAAAACAATGATTAAATGCGACTGAAAAAAATATTGGACCATTGAAAAAGATGGTAAATTTTACAAAATTAATTTATAGCTGGTAAAGTTTATGAGAAATCGTGAACTTTTTTCCAACAAAAACAATGATTAAATGCGACTGAAAAAAAATATTGGACCATTGAAAAAGATGGTAAATGATTTATAAATTACATGTGATATAAAGAATTCAAAATACATTCGTTACTTAAAAAATCAATTTTGTTCAACTATGGAAAACTAATTTAGATAAACTAATTGTTAGAAATAATTGTTTATTGAAAGATGTAATTAAAAATGTGCTTTATTACAAAAAAGAAATAATAATAATAATTAATAAGTTATTAGCACCAATCTTTCGCTATTTGAATCCTTATCGCAATGCTATGTAGATCTAATATCGGAGGTAGAGCGATCTGGTCTGGCTGGACTGGTCTTTGAACCGAGACTGAAAGTTTATTTTGTCCTTGATCTTGAACTGGTCTGTACTGGTTCGAATCAAAATTTCAGCTAATTAAGCTATCCACCATGCAATAATATAGCATGTTGTGATTACGCAGCTTCATGGTAATTCCATAAGATACAGTATGTACACAACAATTAGAAAAACTCAGTTGCGACGATTGAAATACTGTTTTAGGACCGAAAAATCAGATCAGACCAGACCGGAACAAAAAAACACTAATTGATCGATCGAGTATGTATACGTACTTTTGGATCAATCCAACCCTAATTGGAAGTGAAGGTAACGTTATCTGGAGTAATTTAGGTCATATCCAAATTAAATGACCAAGTTGGTCATAATTCAATAGTAAATTTATGAGTCATAAAATTCATAAGGTTATAACCTATAATTGGCAAAAAATCATAGCTAACACTGATTTGGAGCTATTGTTACTATTGTAAATCGGGAGAGCGGGTAACGTTTGCACAGTTTAGTTCCAATAGTTAACGTGATACCGAGTATAATTATCTAATTACTATAGGATTCTATATACTAGATTTGGGTAGGTCGGTAGTAACTAATCGGAAGGGGTGATAGTTTAAGGGTAGTCGGGATTGATTTAATTAAGAGTGGCTTTAATATTAAAGATATACCAGGAATGGAGTATGAAATACGAAGTGTATGGTTTACGAAAGAGTTGAGTGATGTCTCTTTTGTATCTGATTGGATAATCATTGTCGTGATTAGGGATTTCTATATTTGTATGCTGCATAGGGCTTTGCCCCCTTAAGACGGGTACATCCCGGTTTTGGTCCACGTGATCTTCAGGTTAATTAGATCCGAACACTAGGATCAAGTTATAGCACTAAAGAGATTATATCATAATATTGAAATGTTCTCTAAACAATAATATTTTTGAGTTTTTCTTTTACAAACTTCGTTACGGGCCCATATTTTATTCTTCTAAACTGGTTACTATTTTGCGAGCTAAAAAAACTACAATATATCTTAAAGCTTAGACAAACTA